TGTTTTCATAGCTAAACATGTTTAAATTAAGTTGTGAAATCAAAATATTATTTTATTAGAAAAAAATATTAAGTGCAGTGTTAGTGAAGGTTGCTTATTATGTTTCACCATCAATATTTTACCTAACCTTTTCTCTTTAACCATGATGATAACAACTTGAACGAGTGCCATGATTACACCCAAATTATCACCAAGATCGCTGAATCCCTTTACAATTTACTACTATCAATATATTTTACGATCATTATTAATCTATTAATGTATGTTTTAGCCCAAGAAGAAGGTCGGAAAGAAGGTAGCAGCAGCTCCTTTGGTTGTAAAGAAAGTTGAACCAAAAAAGATAGTAAACCCTCTTTTTGAGAAGAGGACCAAGAACTTTGCCATTGGTAAGTTATATTATTGGCACTACTATTTAATTCTATTTAACAAAGGACCTACATGATGATCACAACAATCCTGAACTACCATGTGGTATTTTTAAATCGAGCTTTTTAATACTGATGATGGTCCTAAAATATAATTATTAATGTTAAATTCTGTACCAATGTAAATACATAATGTAAATAGAGTGTTCAGTGCAGTACTTTCTGTTACCATAATTATAGGTTATGTTTGTTTACCTCCTTTGCCCCAGGATATTTAAAATACCATTTTAAAGTCCAAACAACAAAATGTTGACTTTGGGACTCACCCGAAATCCTTTTTTTCTCACCTTGCTTACTTATCATAACAATAAAAAATTATTTTGCATTTTCGTTTTAAACAAATGTAATTCATAAATAGTGTAACTAATTATAACTTTTTTAAGGCCAGGATATCCAGCCCACACGTGACCTGTCCCGTTTTGTGAGATGGCCAAAATACATCCGTATCCAGAGGCAAAAGGCTGTACTCCAGAGACGTCTCAAAGTACCACCACCAATCAACCAGTTCACCCAGACACTTGACAAGACCACAGGTTAACTTAGCTATTTTAGCCAAAGATATTTTAAAGTTTTAGAAGTTTAATTGAGTGCCTTCTATAACTATAGTACTGGTTAGTTACTACCCTATATTTATGCCAAGCAGGTGTAAATATAAACTATATCAGTTTTACTCTGTGTTATCTATCTTATGACAATTAAATGACTTCTTTTGCTAAAAGTGTGAGAGGGCTTAAATGAAGTTGTTAAAGGCCTTATTAAATTTCTCTTGTTTAGATTTATATGATGAAATAATAATGCAACGATGAATCACTATGATTATCAACAAAATAACGAGCTTTTTAACTCTGATCAAATCCTAAAAATTATTTTAACTCTTCATTTTATTACTAGTTTCTAAAAAATCTTTTGTGTTCTAGCTAAGGGACTTTTCAAGATCTTGGAGAAATACAGGCCAGAGACTGAAGCAGTCAGAAAAGAGAGGTTAAGGAAAGCTGCAGAAGCTAAGGTGTGTTTTGGAATAAATTTTATTTCTCTTTTATACAATTCTTAAAAATACAAAGCAAAAAGTTTGTGTTTATTTTAATAAAAACTATTATTAAGTAGGTTTCTATTTTACTGTTTTAAAGCAAACGGCAACAACGGCGAATATTTCTCCTCAAACAGTAATGCCTAATTAGAGCAAACAATGATGCATAACAAATTGACCAGATAGCCATGAAGACTCCTAACCACCAAGATCTCTGATGCTACCAACTTAAAATCTTAATTACACACACTTGGACCAAATTGTATAGACTAATCTTTCAGGTGGCCAAAAAAGATGAGCCCCCAGCGAAGAGGCCAAACACAATCCGCGCTGGAACCAACACGGTGACCAAGCTGGTTGAGAGGAAGAAGGCACAGCTTGTGGTCATTGCTCATGATGTTGACCCCATTGAGGTAAATAATATTATACTCATTATCAAATCACATCTCGTAGCATGACTAAGTTGGTATCACACAATATTAAATACTGTATGTACATCTCGTAAGTAAATTCATCACACAATGTTAAATACTGTATGTACATATCATAAGTCAATATGTACTTATATTAAACTCTGATTGTGTTTTTTGAATCATGAAAAACAATACAAAGGTTTTTAATATTTAGAAGTTGTATTAAATAATAAGTTCGTGGGACTAACCTTCTAAGTCATAAATATACTAGTCTTAACAGTCAACTAAGCGATCTTACAAATTGACTGAAGACATCTGTTAATTCATAAATTAAAATGATTATTAGTAATAAATAATACCACTAACTTAATAATTAGTCTAAGCTAAAAATAAACAACCCTTTTCTCCTTAAAATCTGAAATGAAGCAGAAAGACAACCAAAATACCTTGGTCTACATCTCAATATATATCATGGGGTATATTTTTATTTTATTTTATACACATCGATCACATCAATTCAAAATTTTCTTCTCTTGCTAGTGCACTTAGTAAAGTTCACAGCGGTTTGAATGACAATTCCTTAGGAAAACACATTTATTTTATTTGATAGAATTATGGGGTAGCGCTTCAACTAGTACTCTTTGACAACTTCAGGTTTTACAATATTTATTATTATTATTTATTTATTTTATTCTACTCTTACATTACTCTTGTTATTAATGATAAACTTCCATAAACCTAACCTAACAAAATACATGCTCATAAAGCTTTACTCTTAAAGAACAAACTTGCAAATTCAACTTAATAAAATAAAACCATGTTAAAGGTTCATATGATGTTAGAATTTCTTCACCTGAGCAGTTTGAGATTTATTCCCAAACTGTGCATGAAGCCAGTTGACTCTGATCCCTCTTTATTCAAAATTCATCTCAATATCATAGAAATTTATTGACTTAAGATTTTACTTTCAGCTAGTATTATTCCTGCCAGCTCTCTGCCGTAAAATGGGTGTCCCATACTGTATTGTGAAGGGAAAATCCCGTTTGGGAGCGTTAGTTCACCGCAAAACCTGCACTTGCTTAGCGCTGACACACGTAAGTATAAAACAAGCATCATTCAGAAATCATAAAAGACTAATTACATATTCCCTCCTAAAAGCTATCAAAAATAGTGATTTTGTCATTTTTTAATTCTATTTATTTAGCATCATTGGAACGATATTAGAATATTTTAAATATTAAATAAGTAGGAATTTGTTCTTGGATCGCATCAAGAAGTTACTGATATCTTGTGAAACTTGTTTAATATCATACATAGATATATTGTGTGCCAAGTGAGCCCCATTATTTTTTTTCTTCATCTCATAAAAGATGGTATATAATGATGATGTATTTGCTATCTGAATGCCATGAGGACAACCCTTCTACCACCAATAGAAATATCTGAATATACCATCTTACTAATTATAATATTGGTTTTCTTGGCAAGTTCACATTGTTAGCAATGGCGAAGAGCCGATTTTAGGACAGGCTTAGATTTTCAAGTTTAAATAAATTGCAATAAAATTAAAGTTTTTTACACATTATCAGGTTGAATCTGGAGACCGCGCTTCCTTCTCCAAGGTGGTAGAAGCGATCAGGACAAACTTCAACGAACGCTACGAAGAGCTCCGTAAACACTGGGGCGGTGGAGTCCTCGGAAACAAGTCTAACGCGAGAATCGCCAAGCTCGAGAAGGCTAAGGCGAGAGAAATCGCGCAGAAACAGGGCTAGGCCAATAAATGATTATCTATATTATGTTTTATTTGTACAATCGAAATATACAACGGCTGACCCGTAATCAGATTAATTACGGAATGCTTAATTTACACATATAATATCAAGCACTTGTAAATTAGGAAAACATTACATGTCAGCATAGCAATTGTAGTCTGGATTTTTTTTTAACTAGGATAGATAATTTAATTTCTACATAGATATACAGTACAAAAAAACAGGCACTAAATATTTCCCCCACTTCTATGAATATTACAAGAAAGAATTTTATTTATCGATGTGTTGGCATGTTACTTGGAAGATTCTCGTTCTAAATTTAAATTTTGAAATTAACAAGAAAAATGATTGTGGATTATTCTAAAATTGAGTTACTATTATTAATACTAATTTCGCGAATGGCTGAAACGAAATTTTACTGATTACTGAAATTTCTCCATTTTTGCTTGAAACTGCAAACTTCATGGACTCCCTACAGAACGGGAGTACTGTTTTCTGATGAAGCTAGTATCTGTTGAAAGACGAGACCGACGCCGGCGTGCTCCAAAGACTGGGAAATCACTCAATTTTGGCGGAAGGCCGGAGGCTCCGTTTTGTTTTTGCCAGCAATTAATTCGACGGAGCGTAAAGAGCAGTGACTGCTCTTGAGGAGAATTCCATTTTTAAGGACGACCAGAAGGTTTCATGTGATTGGGCACGAGGAGGTCACAATATCGTTATGACGCATTTACATTTGTAATTTTATTTAATTAAAAAAGAAAGAAAATCTGTCTTTATTGCCTGCCACTTCTTGTTTGGCCGTGTACACCGTTAAAAGAATTCATATAACATGCCAGAATTCACTTCACGCGTATTGATTTACACGATTATAAGTAATAGAGTACGTGTACGTCCGACCAACGACATTACTGAAATCGACCTTACAACGTAAAATTCCTTAGGTACCCATTTTTTTGCAAAGGAGAATTATGGGTCCAATTGCATTGAAATTGAATGAACTGCGTAAGTTATATTTGATATTTTTTTTATCGAAGATGGTAGTTCAGGAAAATTACGTTAGATGTCGCTAAACAAATAAAGTTTTGAAATCATTTGTTTGCCGTTTTGATGCCATAAAATATTTTTACAATCGCAATATCATGTATTATTAAAGAAGTAATAAAACTATAAATTCCTTTACCTTATGTCGAAAGAAACAATAATAACAAATCGAAATGTTTTTTAAAATTTTTCTATATAACTTTTTATCAGGTACATAATTTATATTAAACAGAATACCATTTTAAAAAGTATATTTTATGCATGATTATTTGGTGAGAATTACATTTTTATTTTAGCTACATGCTTTTGTGTTAAAGTGGACATGCAAGCAAGTGTAAGTCTTGGTAAAGATGTTATACAGACGATAAGTAAATTTTTAGGGGATGGCTTCCTTCCGTTTAATTCCAGACGATCCTTAACACCTATGCAAGAGGACAAGATCACAGAAATGGTTAAAATGTCGTTACTATGCCGCGATTTAGGCTATTGTCAAGGTGAACTTCGAAAATTTATTGATGAATTTGTAATAATGCAAGCAAAAGGCGTTGAGAACATACTTACCACATTGTTATCTAAAAGTTTTAATGGTGACATCTATGATCAGCAGTTAAAACATATCTTAGGAAAAGTGAGATTTATTTTAAAAGAAGAAAGCGCATCTGAAAAAGATGAAATGAACATTTGGTTTGAAACTGTAAAGAAAATAAGCGGTAAATTTCAAGAAATGGCACTGCAATGCCTTGCACAATTAAGTAACAGTGCGTATGATGTAGATAAAACAATCTATCAAAAATTGATGTTGGCAACTGTTATTATCGAAATGAAGTACTTATTAAAATTATGTGCTATCCACAATATTTGTGTTAAAACATACGAGTGCACCACTAGTTTAAATTCTTTATTAGATCATTTAAAAACTATGAAAGACGAAAAGGCCAGGCTTTTTATCAAGTACGTCTACGAAGCATTATATAAAACACAATTTTATAGTTCTTTAACCGAAACGACAGCTCATGAATTCCAAGTTATTCTAAGTGACATGGCATATTCAAGTAACGTACCAACTCAAGAAATATTATCTGTGGTACACAAAATAGTTGGAGCCCGCGTAAAGTTTGTCACAGATAATACAGACGAGAAACTGTCTCTTGATAGTCTATTACTTCATGAAATTTTATCAGACTTAGATAATATTTATAGTGGTAAATCCAATCCGTTTGCTGAGTTTTTAAATCAATTTTTTATATGGATTGTTCGGGATGACGACTTTCACCTAAGTAAGCATATACAGGAACTTTTGACAGAAATCGGTAAGGACCTGTCAAACACGCCGAGAGAATTATTTGACAAGTTATCGCGCGAAGTTAGATTATTTTTGGAGATGACTGTTGACCCGGAATAAATAAAATAATAATTATAGATAAGTACACGTAGTTATTGCATACTAATTACAAATGGCAGTCATCAATATACAATTTTAAAATGTTAATGTGCCTACATTTTATTTGTCTTTATTTAAAACTTACTTTGAATAAAAACTTTATCTTTCATTAATAAAATTTAATTTGTTATAGTACATTGCATACCTATACAAGAGAAGGTGCAGCTAGGATTATTAAATGAAAACTACTTTACAGAAAATTACCTTAAAACTCTTAAAACTCACCAACACTATTCAACACGTAGTAATTAAAAAAACTAATTTCTATTACCTATATACAATAATCTATATGGAAAAAAAACCATTAGACTATCTTATTCCAAATTTAATAAACTCACTACCAGCTGCACTTCTTACTAATATTACAAGAAACAATATTAAATTTAAATTAAGAAATTATTACATAAATCAAACAATTATAAATTATACATAACAAACATTATGCTAATCTTCATCATCTTCATTTAATTCTTATTCGAATATAGGAATACGTCCTGTATTCGAATGAGAATTCTCGTCAAGAACAGGTTTCTTGCATCGGCTAACTGTGGAGCGTCTATGTTTCAATTGGTTTGTGACGTTTTACGTACAATTTTAATTGTTATAATGTTATAGTGTATATGTCACTGGCCTTAGTATATAAGTTATATAGCTATTTAAATATGTTCGACGTGCTGGTGGAAAGAAAAACTGTGTCCAGTTTGTGTTTCCACCACATCAGCTTATTTTCTGTTTAAGATCATGTATATAATAAATAAATCCTCGATTGAATTACTCATGTTAGAAGCGTGCTGGAGTATGCGGGTGTTATCTGGTCTCCATATTATATAAAATATAAAAAAGCAGTAGAAAATATACAAAAAAAGTTTGTGAAATTCCTTACTTTTATAAAATATCAATGTTTCGATAGTTATGCGATTCTTGCAAATATTTTAATTTAAACTCATTAGAATGTTAGCGAAGTCAGCAAGACTTGCTTTTTTTACACGCTATTCTTAATGGGCGGATAGACAGCCCCCATTTGCTGTCGTTAATTTCTCTTAAAATTCCTTAAGCGACAAGACACACAAAATTGTTCCATGTGCCTCGTACGAACTCGTATTATCTGCATAATTCGCCAATGTTTCGGGTTTCATCTAACTATGACACCAATTATGAGCATATTACATACGTACAGAATATTCAGTCAGAATACGTTTTTACATACAATAATATATTTCATATAATTTTGAGGTTACAAAATAAAATGATCTAGTTTGATAATTCTGCGCGAATACGGCGCGAAATTGTAAACTATGAAAAGTATGTTTTATTTATATGAAAATGTTTTTACCTCGATAAAAGAGTTATGTATATACTGATTTAATTTCTAGAAAAAGATTTGGGTCTTCACGCAAGAAAATTACTTAGAATTTTTTTATTTTTACTTTTATTACTCACCCACTTTTATCACTCACTTGTATGCAATTAATGTGGGCACGATATTATCAAACCAGTTTGACAATACCGCGTCTTAACTTTTTTTTTAGAAATTGGCAATAATAACATTTTGTTTAAATTTGAAGTTTTTGTTATACGGTATGCGTACCTGAATAAATGTCCTACTAATTACTCTATTTAGTTTCTTTTAATATCAAACAGTTTCCTAACTATAGGTCCAAGTCTTTAGGGGCTCGGAATTATCCAACTCTCCCCTACAGTTCTCAGTAGGCTTTTGTAAATAGAAGAAACTTGATGAACAACAGGTGCGTGAAGCACGTAGAAGATGTGCTCTTTGAGGGAAGGTGTGCGTCATCTATTTTCGCACGTGGGATGGCCAGCTTGCAAAGCCAGCGTTTTCGCGCGTCATTTGGTATATCATGTTATCTGGGGTGTAAGCCAGCACCTTGGGGAAATGTATGGACCGAACTTTGTAATAGCTTTTAAAGGCGAGATGTGCTTTTTACTGCTTACGTGGGATGGCCAGCTCATTTAACTGGCGTTGGTGGATATTAAGAGCATTGCTCTTGGTACACTGTTTTTGAAACTTGTGGAGTTGCCAGACTTCCATAGATTCGACCCCAGGTGGCAAATAGGGGTCAACGTACTCGCCCACGGGGGTACCGGTTGGACTTCCGACATCCAACTGGCGTGGACCAAACTGGTGGGCTCAGGGCGTACGTTTTCTTTTTTTTACTTTTGTAATGCTAAGCAGTTTCTGGGTGGGTTTTAGACTCTCCGTCGGGCAACCTGTTACCTCCTGCGTGTGTCGTAGTCATGTCTAGCGGCATGCTTGTGGCCAGGGGGCTTGCCTTTATTGGCCGGCCTTGAGAGAAAGGAAAATCTCAATAAAAACCCTTAAATTCCCGACATTGGGGCGCCTTGTAGGTTTTGCGCGGTGTCGGTTACTTGTGTTTGCAGGTGGCTGGTGAGTAAAGTCAGTCGTTAGCAGCCATTCCTCGGATACCACCCGTCCTCCGAGTGGTATAAGGGTTACCCAGGTGCAGGGGGCACCACCTGGGTGGACTGTGTTCCCCCATGGAAAATAATTTATGAAATGACAACAAGATATAATCTAAAACAAAAAAACCAAATCAAAAGAAGGTGTTAGTGTGGAGATGCCGTGTGATGCGGCTGAGCAGGAAGCTGTAGTGGCAACGGCGGGCGATCAGTTTGTTTTGCCAGCGCCCCCCAGAGATATTATGTTAATGATATATGATGCCCTAAGCTGTCGGATTCTTTCACATACTCAGGTGTTGAAGCAGTTTCATCGCGGTTTTGGAGCTCCCGGAAGCGTTTCAGAGAAGTCACTGACACCGGCTCGTTCAGGTTCTCTCTGGGCTTTGGGAAGTTACCTGCATCGAATCGTTGAAAGTGAGGCGACACCCGCTTGTGACTGTATAGATGATACGGTGAGGGACACAGTTGAGGAGTGTCCGGCTCGGGACGGCTTTCGCTCGGTCCTTGCTGATAGCATTGTTGGCAATCTGTCGCTTCCACTAATTATCCAAAGAATGGTGGAAGCTGACAATTACGTCCTTGGAATGCCTTCAAGGCTTTTTGTGAGGCCGTCATGACTCAGAAAGAGAATGCGGAGCGTCAGCGTGAAAATGATTCAGATGCTCCACCGGTAAGGAAACGACGAAGAAATCTTAAGATTCTGAAGATTTGTTCGTGGGAGGAGTCATGGTGGTATTGTGGCATTCGCGTTTGGCGGGGGTAAGGATAGGGCTCAGCTGTTACCTGCCTTCGCCCTTTTGGCGAGCTGAAGGCATCCGTCAGGTTTCAGTGGGTTGTAAATATTAAGCCTGAGTCCCACATAAGCCCTGCTAGGGAAAATATCTCAGGGATAAGCATAAACATTTCCTTACGTTAAAAAAAGAAACTTATCACTGTTGTTAAAGAAAATTATTTTGTAAATTGTTTTTTTTAAAGCCCCCCCCCACCCCCCCCCCCTTAACTTAAAATATATTGAATCTATATGTTTAACCATTAACCGTTAATTAACGGATAAAAAATTAAAAAATTAAAATGTAAAATTAAAACATGTTTGTTTTATTTAACAGCATTTCCTTCTAATTGTTGAAAATAGTTGGGTACCACAACTAATGGATTATCTATAGACCGGAACAAAATCAAGTTGTGTCGAAAGACAGGAGCGTCCATATTTCCTAAATAGGCTTTGTTAGTTTTAAATGTTTATGAGTGGTAATTTGCCTAATTATGAAGCAACGCTTAAGCAATTATGAGCGGTAAATCTGAGCCAACCACTCACCCAGCATAAATCACATTACGTTCTAGCGTGCACGTTTTCCCCAAGGAATAAAGATCGACACTCATTTACCGTTTATCCCGCTTTAATAATCGCTTTTGTATGTGCTGAAAAACTGAAGGCTTACAAAATTAATGGACTGTAAAGTGGATGTGTAAATTTAGACGCATTCGTGATATTGTGTTGGAGCCTGGAGGAGAATGTTGCAAATACCAAGGACTGATCCAATAAGTGTTTCCCAAACTTTGTTGTGTCATGCCCCATCTTAGCCTACCTAAAATGCCCCTCCCCCCCACCTACGTAACATACATAATTTATATGAAATTTAAATGATAAGTTTTACGGTTAAATCACTAGGTACACACACTGTTAACGAAACAATAAGTAAATTTTCAAAACATAATATAAAACTGGAATACAAATTCCTAATAAGTATTTTTCTTTTTTTTTAAGATTTTTGTAAGATGTTGGTGAGATCCTTGCGCTTGATGCTTACTGCACAGACGTTTTATTTTCTATTTCCCCGACTATATTGTCATCGGAAGTAGTAGGTAACGTAGATGTATAACTTAGGTACTATTTACTTATAATCTATATATATTAAAGTAAATAGTACACTCGTAACTAATATTTCACATAATTTTGTGCGTATTTCATACATTACCAAACTCATGGTTATATACTACTAGTAAGTAACAAAAATGTCTGGCAAAGAATATAACTGATATTAGAAAATTTCGTCGAAATCTTTAGACTAATCGGGTTTTAACTGTACGAAAGCCTTAAGCAAGAAGCCTGCATTGTGGCGTTACTTTACCGGGAAGGTTATTTGTTGTAGCAATAAATTCTGTCACTACTGTAATACTAGTCGATACACGTGACTTTGTTAAGATAAAACTTCAAAGTTTCTTTTCAAAAGATCGTAATATGTACAAAATATAATCACAAGTTCAGATCAAGCGTCGTAAGATTTTCAGAATAGTTTCAGTATGGAATGAAAATATCGCTACCTAAGAAAAAAAAATCGATTTAATTGGCGCGAAAGTGTACGTCCACACCAATTGACCGAGTCCCATCATAAGCTGGTGAAGCTTGTGTTAGGGGTACTAGGCGATACATACATATTATAGATAGATAGACATATAAAAACATATTTAAACACCCAAGACCTAAGCACAACACCAAATGCTCATCACATCGATGTTAGTCT